CTAAAAATATATAAAATTTCGAGCAGACTAAAGATACAACCTACCTCCTTGAAATGTTGGTTCAAAAGAAAGAGATGGCATCCTAACACATGAAAATAGCTGAGAAAGCCATTAGGGGGACATTCTGAGCTTTCAAATGGTTATTCATGTCATATATTGAAATAAGTGTATATAAGGGACAGTTTCCAAAAATGGAAAGAGGTGAGTGGGGCCACTGTGTTGATTCAATACGTGAGCGATATATCAGCAAAGAGAAAAAATAGGAGGTTCTTATTTTATATTTTAGCTTGTCAATATCAGTAATTTGAGTTTCCAATTTGTACGAAACTAAAGACTTAGCATTTTGACATCACAAACATTTAATTTGAACTAGTGTTGCATTCAACACACCACATGACACACAAAAATTGATGTTTGTGTTCTTTTAATATTTACTTTTAAATTAAGAAATTAAGTAACTTATAATATTAAAATTTGAATTATAATCTACAGTTTAATACTAAAGGTATTGACAAAACTTCATATAGTTCACTAAGATTTTGAATATGAATCAACAAATGCAATGATATGGCCTTTGACCTGTGATCCATCTGGAGAGGGTTAAAATTACTAAAGGCATATCAGAGAAGAGTACCTATGTATAAATTGTTTCATTACCCTCATGAAAAAGCACACCTGTAAGCCACACAAATCAAGAACTGAACATGTGGTGAGATGCAGTATCATACATTCAACAGAATTCAGCTATAGAGCTAGTATTAAATGAATCTTTTATTTACAATAAAGTCAGTGTAGTTAAGTCTTAATTGTAGATAGTTATAGAATGATATATAAAAAGTCAGTACCAAAGTTAGCAAATTCAGTCTGTTGTAAGGAGAGGAAATTCATTACACACTTTAAATAGAAGTCTAAAGAAACATCTTTTAAGTAGATTGTTTATTTTTATTTAATTTTTTTTAACGTTTCAACCACTTGTGTGCCCATCATCAGGAAACTGTCTCTACTTAGTGAAATACTGCATGAGCATTTAGTTTCAATATAGAAAAACATAGAGGGTGATACAAATAATTAATGCTTCTCTTATTTTTCTTCTATTAATGTTGTTCTCATTGCACAATATCTTAAAGTTGTTAATGTAAGTTGGAATGTTGATTTGTTGTGCTGTGTTCATAAATGTGTGATGGGGAATTTCTATGTTCTTTGATCCTAATGCTTATGTTTTGTCTTGTTTCACTTATGTAAGTGACATCACATTGATATTTGAAGATACTTCCGTCATTGAAGTTGCCAGAATAAACCGTCTTCAGATGAACTTTGATTTTAGTGCTTGATTTTTGAATAAAAGTAACTTTGTTGTTTATATTGAGTTTTTTATGCTTGCTTCCAAATGTTTATGATGTTTTGGGTTACATAGCTATGATATGATAAGACACCTATTAGTGTGTCTAAGTTTGTGCATGTTGTTTTCCTTTTCTTTTTTTCTTTCTCTTATTGAGTTTGTTTTTATACTTGGCAAGGTTTTAGTGTCAATGTGTTTAGGGAAGTGACATTTGTTAATAAATGTGTCAGATACTGATTCTAGTTCATGCTGCAGATTGCTGCTACTACATATATTAAATTCTGTGTTATAAATGCATGATAACATGTCAATATTTTGTTGAGTTGAGTGGGTGGAGTCCCACTTTATATAGTTGTTATCATTACCATACTTGTGGAAGATTTTAGTGTTAAACTGTTGGAGTTTCTTTCTATTGTTATGTTCATGTAATTTAAAACCCGGTTTTCATTCTCTTCTTCATGATTAAATTTGATGTTAGAGTGAACATTGTTTACGTGTTGTAGAAATGACTGTTGATGGTTGTTATTTCAAATCCACAAAATACATCGTTGACGTATCTAACCCAGCATGTGGTAGGTTGTAGAGCTGTGTTAATGCCCCGATGTTCTATTTTGTTGATATACAATTCACATAATCCAGGTGAAAGAGATTTGCCCATGCTTAGGCCATCTATTTGTTCATAAGTTTTGTCTTGACAGGTGAAACATATTTTTAGTGCAAAGTGAAACAAGTCTTTCAAAATTTTCAAGCTCAGGTTGTTATGCAATTTGTTAGAATTTTGGGATATAATTTCTATAGCTAGGTTTGTTGCTTCATCTTTCGGTATCATTGTATACATGCAGACTACGTCAAAACTGTACATTTTGTGACAACTGTTGAGGTTTTTGAGACTGCTTCAAAATACTAGAAGACCTCTAACCTTGTATTTATTGTCGTCATGTAATGGTTTGATCAGAAAATCTAGAAATCATGCAAGTTCATGGTTATAACTGCCATAAGTGGAAAGGATGGGGCAAATGTCAATTGGGCTTTTGTGAATTTTTCCACAATTTTTTTAGGTCTGATATTTGGAGTTTCTTGACAATTTGTTTAATGTTATGTGTTTAAGTAGATAACTTTCAATTCTACACAATATTTCATGGATAAAATTGTTTAGGTTTTCATTGTCAGTTGGTATTTTAAAGAACCACATTTTGTTATTCTTGCCTTGAAATGTCTCTGTAGTTTCATTGTCTGTGTTCTTATATTGTTGATTATTTATGTTTCTTTAATTTTGATAGATGAGGCATTCTTGTTTGCTGTTTTACTTCTTAGTTTTTTCTTTGATTGTTTGCTGGAATAATTTTCTAGTTAAATCTTCTATTCTGGCTTTGATCTCTAAGGTAGGAACATTTTTGTGTCATTGCATAATTTAGGTCTTTGTTTAGAATTTCTTCTTGCATTGGTGTTAGGGTTGTTTTTTTATAAATGTACTATATTTGTGTCTTTGTTTTTTGTGTTGTCATGTTTACTGTCTACCAGGTTCCTTCTTTTGATTAACTCAACTATTTTTTTAGTGTGTCTAATTTCTATTTTATCTCTTTGGTTTATCCAGTTTGAGTTGATAACTCCTAAGAGCATGCGTGAGTCGCCTGATGCAGTGCTGAGGGTTACGTAGTCTTGAATCTTTTTTTTTTTTCAAATTATTAATGTCTCTGTACTTTTGTCTGATTATTGCATTTGAAATCTCCTTTTCCATAGTTGATGGTTTAATTTTATAAACTTTAGTAATAACCTCTTCCTGTTCGAATCTTTTTTGTAAATCTGAGGCTACAGATGGTTTTCTCCAATTTTATATTAGTTTTTTTTGCATTTTAGTGAACAGATCTTTTGTTGTTGTGCCATATTTTATCACTAGACTTGTGTTTAAAGACATTTCTTTAAGAGATTGGCTACTGATATTATGGAAGCTAGTTATAGGTAGGTTTTGCAGGGTTGTTGGTGTGTGTAAATGTTGTGAATCACAAAATTCCTTATCACAGTCTTCCAAATACTCCAGAACATTGATCTCTTAGTAAATATTGTAAGGTGACAATTTTCTGTTGAGATTCTACTTGTAGGACTCTTGTATTTAGTTCTTTTATATGTAGTCAAAACATTGTAAAAAGTTAAATAAAAATAAGCAATCCACTCCAAAACTTCAGTCTGTGTTGAGTAGAAAAAAACTTTAATATTTATTTTAATAAGTTCTCAAAAAGTGTACATTAAATTAACTTAGAAAAATCTCATGAATATTAGGCATAAAATTAATAAACCTTTGTTCAAAAGTCAAACAAGATTAATTTTTTGGGTTAAAGCTATTTCATTTCCCAATGTATTACTGAATTTCCAAAATTTGTGTATGTCTGTATATAGTGTACTTTTAAGAACTGCAAAAAATTTATGTTTAATATATTTTTGTTCATTTTCAGATATTTTACCTATCTGTATGAACCACAACTGACAAAGACAAACGGCATATCAGTACAAGTACAGCAAATAATCTTTGATTAGAAAACTGCTAATGTAACACAAATTAAAGACAAACTTACTTCTAAACATCTCCACTGTTTCTTGAGACACAACAGGTGGCTTTAATTCAGCTTCTACAACTTGAAACTCACAAGTAAGTGGCAAGTGTTGAAGGTATCTCAAACGTTTCCTAGCAACCTACAATATTTAAGTTACTTTTTAAATCTCAGAATAAATTAGGTGATATACAATGTTATAGATACTCATGTTTGTACAGTTTTCATAAGAGATACTTATAAAATTAAACAAATAAAAAAAAATACATAAATAAAACAAACCTGTCATGAGTTTGAAAAATATGAGCATGTTTTTCTCAAAGCATCCTACATTACATTTTATCAAAGAGGCTTCACATTAGGGTACCTTATTTTTTAATATCAATAAGCTATAGTGACAAACAACTTCTGATCTTTCCACATTTCTTGTATGCTCTTAAAAAGGCAAGGTCAAATTAATACAAGTTCTTATAAGTCTAAGCTAGCATTGGAGGAGATTTAATAAAAATAAATGTTTACTATCTGTATAACAAACTTTATGTTCTCACATTTGCTACATGCACATAAAAATGTCTTAAACCTTTACACAATTTATGCAGCTATCAAATGTTTTTTAAGTACCACAATTATTTGTAGTCATTATCAGAATAGTTTAAACCATCATTTACTGCTCAATAACTGAAATATTTACACTTCTTTTGGGACATGAACTTTGATAAGTTCACCCTATAATGACCAAAACTTACATAATTATGAGCAACCAAGTTACATCTATTGTGATAGCTAAAATGATTAGAAAACAGTTTCAGTTTTTTTCCCCCTAATACACTACAAAACAAACCTCATCCATTGAAAAACCCTCAAGTTCCAATATCTTAGCAGCCAATGTAGTGGGACAATTCTCCAGACTTCCATACTCCTTTATCAACATACGAACATTCAGAGCATGCAGAAAAATATTCTGCCCATCAGATGCTGTCAGTGAAAGAAAAAAGGTAATGAAAACATAGTAGCTCAAATAAAATACATTATATTATGTAAAAGTAGGCTATCAGTAATGCTTTTTTACTGATACATCATGTATCAAATATCTGCAGAGTAAGTCACAAACATATTTCTTTTGCCTAGATAGCCACTACAAAAACAGTCATTTTTGGGATACAATATTTTCCTTTTTTCTTCTTTTGCTCTCTCTCTGTGTTTGAATATATTTGTCTAATACTTTTGAATATTTAATGTCAGGTATTAACCCTCTCACTGCTGGTAGGTCAAAGTATGCATGTCACGACCTTTTACATAGTTACACTCAAAACTTAAGCTACTTTAGTATCAATGTATATGAATAAACATGGCATCAAAATGTAGTTAATAAATCAAATTTTAATGTTATATACGTTTTAGTTTATTTAAATAAATCCTCAAATTCCCCTTGTATAAGAATCAACATTTGTTTGCTATGCCTTACCCATTCTTTATTTTTTCACCACCCCTCTCTGATGTCCTGAGTTTAAAGTAATTTAATCATTACAGAATAGATATTACTAATGCAAAGTCTCATTTTATAGTCTTCAGTCTACTTTGTTTACAGACATAAAGTAGGAAGACCTACTTGCCACATACATTTGAACATTCTCTTTTACAAGTTGTCAATAATTCTTTTTGATGTTTTCTATTACATCATGTATAATGTTATGTTGTTTGCAGTTGGTATTTTAAGTTAATTACCCTACAGACTGAAAGTTTGCTTTTGTAAGTAATGGAATTATTTTAAGGTACTTATGCCATAGTTAGGAAGCCAGTTAAATTATAATCGTTATTGGACATTGTTTGCTTTGTACATGCTATTATTCTGTGTTCTTATATGCATTCTTCAAATAAAATTATTTACTGCACTAGTACCTTCAATTCCATCAGCAGGCTGACAGCAAAAAAACAAGAGGCCAAAGGTAAGTACTAAATTTCTTGTTTTTATGCATACTTTTTATTTATTGTCATAAAAGTAACTAAGATGTTAAAATTACAAACCTATTAGGTTAGACAAGGTAAGCTCCGTTTGTCGAGTGATTCAGAGCTTGTATCATGGGGTTATTAGTTAGACACAGTTCAGATGGCAATAAAAAAATAAAATAGATGTAGAAAATTATGAGACTTAACCTATTTAGGATAAACAACTGTAGTTTTTCTTTACAATCTGCATTGATTCTAGGGAAAAAAAGGCAAACTTAGATTCATTTTGTATTTTTTGTGATAGTTACAAAGTTGGTCAAATCAACTGAGTCTGTATACAGTTAGGACAGAGAAAATAAATTATAAAGATTCCTTTAGAAGGTTTTAGAGATTATGCAAATGAAATATAAAACTGTAAGATGAGTAAAACAATTTCTAATCTTAACATGAAATCACCTTGCACTCAGACTACATATGTTCATGGACAAATCTTCAGTAAAAACACTCAATTAACTCTTTGACTATGGAGCTAGGTGCACTGCACCTACTACATAACCATAAAAAAAAACATGAGAATAGTCATACTATAACTTTTGATAACGTATATGTATCTTCATAGCTTATCAGTAAACATCACAAGGCTTTTGTAGACAAGATAAAGTTTATTAACTAAGTATTTAGATTTTCTAACTAAAGATTTGCACATGAATTGTTTCTTTTGGAATGTTGACTATCCAACATGCAAAGTAATTTTGAATTCAAGATTAAAAATACTTTTCTTCATCTGAAAATTGTCAAATTTAATTTGGGTAATCTCTATAACCGCCTAAATAAATACCATATAGTATAAGAATTAGAAAAAACTGGAAATATTTTCCAAACATCAGTGAAACATTCTGGATAGTTTTAGTTCCTTCATATATTTATATACTTAACTGTCTCCCCAGGTAGCCTTTACTGCGCATGACACAATGATTTAGTGTCTTACATTCAAAATTTTATTAAATTACTTTTTCTTTATGTTATACAAATTGGAATAGCATAAGATCTTAGCTAATAATCCATATTTTAAATGTATACTAGTTTTAAGTTCTTAATTCTATAAGGAAATATATAACAAGATCCTGATTTTCCAATAGTGTGACCCACGTGACACATTTTCTCTTATCCCTATTTTATCCATCACCCCTGGAAAATGTATGAAAGGAAACATTAAATATTATATAAAATCTTTATTGCTCAAACAAACCATAACTTTATAGCCTTCAATTTTGTTTGGTTACAGAGTTATCAAATAGAAAATCAGACCCCTCCTGCCACATCCTTTCTTTCACAATTCATTGATAGTTCTCTCTTACGTTTCATTATACATTA